CACACATGCACACACAAAAACACGCACTCTCATGCACACACACACACTCACTCATGCACACACATGCGCACACATGCACCCACACATGTGCACGCTTGCACACACACACATGCACGCACACACACATGCAATCACCCAAGCAGGCGCACACCCACACCACACCCGCATATGCACATGCACACACACACATGCACACACACACGTGTGCACAAACACACGCACCTCCGCACACACACACCCGCGCACGCCCATGCACACACCCACACCCACACGGCGCACACACGTGTACACAAACACACACACACACATGTACACGCACACACATGCACGCACCACACCTAGGACTGATTTTACAAACGTGACCACAGAGCATCCTCGTTTAATATAAAATACTATATTCACTTTTTGCAAAACATAAACTGACTCTTTCACAAAGGACACACATATGAAAGAAACACATCTACTTCATTCTTTACGATGATTTTGTCAGGGTGTAATTCATGAGGCAGGTAATGTGCTAGCGTCATCTCCCAGGCATCTACAAATGCCACTTTGATGCCCTCAAACATCTTTCTCATCACTAAGTCAAGTTGATAGGAATACCAGTCACTGTTGTAGAGACTGACTTCCCGTGGAAGGGCCTGGACATTTGCAGTTTTTATTACAACCACTGTATCTGGGCTCCTTCCCAGCAATCGTAGAATTGACCTGCGGACGTTCTGGACCCTTCGGATGTATGGTTCAACTGGAAAAGTGTTGAAATGACACCAAATGGTGAAGGCTATAACAGTGTTCTTTCCACCTTTAATATCATCCAGTTTATTTGCAGTGAATGGCAAGTCCTGATTTGAAATGGGGAGGATTCGAATCGGTGGGCCATGAGCATAATATTCCACCTTGATCTTGTTGTCTATATCCAAAGCAAGATGTGGGCCAGTATTTTTAGAATTGCCAAGATCAAACTTCCTGAGATCTAAAAAAAATGGAATAACATTAATACTGGAAGATGAGTCATGATTCTGTAGATAGTAATTAACAGACGTGATTACTTAAAATGCAGTGTGTTAATAAAGAGACCATCTCATCCTCCTTTGCCTGGATCAACAGCTTCATTTGAATGGGGTTTCAAGAGGGCAAATGAGCAGCCAGTTTAAATAATAGAGACAGGCAGATCAATAGATTTCTGAGCTGCATTCAGATGGAGCAAGCAAATAAACTCTTGGCCAATGTATAATGAAGGTGAGAAACAGCAGTTTGATGAGGAAGCCATTGGGTAAGTGAGTAAACAGAAAGGCTAAGATCTGTTCAGGCCGAACAGCTATGCAGGTTAGCGGGTTTGGAGGCACTCAACGTTCCCTGATGTATTGGCATATGTGGTGTATTAAAATCACATTATGCACTTTATCCACTCAAGGCTACCATCCTGAGATAAGGAGTCAAGGACAGAATTTTGCATTCCCCATTGGGTAGATTTGCATGTGAAGGAAAGTGTAAAATTTTTTAGATAACCTTCCTACCAGACACCAGTTTGACTTTTAAAGGCTTTAAATCTTTGACTTGAGCAGTGTGAAGATAGGTAAATTTAGACTGAGATACCTAGCATCTAGGTTAGCTAGATTTTGCTAGATGGGTATTGGCTACGTTGATGGAAAGTGCTCAGGAACTGTGAAAAGTAGTACTATATACATACGTGCTTACTGTAGCAGATACATACTCTGTCAGACCTGACCCAATAGTAACCCCAGTCCTCATCCCTTGACTCAACGCCTGTCATTTCTGATGGCTACAGCCTATTGGTGTACTTATACTAATTGCTGGAAGAAATATTTGGGACCAGCGCACTACATTGAGTCACAACAGTGAATGATGATATGGCAAATGATCATAATGTTACCATTCAATATTGAGTCAGTGGATCTTAAGCCAATAAAAAAGCTGAAGATTGCTGAGTCATTTCAACTAGCTATCTCCAGCAGAAAGGAGAAAGGACAGAAAAAAACAGATCTGATTTTTATAGTGTCTTCCATGAACTTCTGATTTCTGAAAGAGTTTTGTTGTCAACAAGTTAATTTTTGGATCAAAGCGTAATCATTGTTGTAGTATAATCATTGCTGTACTGTAGATTATCAATCCCTCAAAGATCAATTATTTTTCTAACAGAAGACAAATACTGTAGATGATATAAATCTGAAACAAACATAGAGTTTGCTGAGTATATCCTGCATCCTGTTGTGTGTATTTATTCTTCTGTGTCATGTTCTCAGAATTTTTTAAACTATCAGTAGTATCTATATTTAGGTCCCAATCACTTAAGAGATGTGGATCCTTATGTGGTTACCAGGTGGTGAATTAGATAGAATTCTCATTTTATTTCAACCAACCCCTGAAGATAATCTATCCATGAACCTGGGACCTGAGAAGCATTTGCACCTGTTGAAATATCTCACATTGAAACCCTCTCCCTAGAACTATAATACAGATTCCCTCAGTTAGTACTTAGAAATCTACTGACATTATCAGCACATCTGACCCTTTGCATCACTTTCATCTAAGTTGCTACATTTGTAATGGAATGCTGTGATACTCAACAAAGTACTGTCATTTTTCCATTTCATTTCAATTTCATTTCAGTAATTATTACATTTGCATGTCTGTCATGAAAATAAAATTCGTATGAAAGTTATATTGTCAACAGTCTTGAATTCACAGGCATAAATATCAAGAAGGTATGAAAATACCTTTTAGCTCCCTTAGGCAAAATATTTACACTTTTGGAAAATGGAAAATTCTATCACATAAGGTGAGCTGTGTGGAAGTGTTGATTTATATATTCACATCCAAGGCAGGATCATTCTTTTAACTTTTGTGCTTTTAAAAACGTTGGACTTAAATAAGAAAGAACTGTTTCAAAAACTAGTGTTTGAAAGAGCAGTTGCAGTTTTGAAAGCAAGTAACTTGATACCCACGGCAAGCACTGTAAGAAAATGTTTAAGCAAGCAGTAATTGAAGTTCAGATTGCAGTGGGTACTATGAACAAGATGCACTGTAGAAATTCACCAAAGTTCTGAGGCCACACTTCCAAACCAACAACTACTTCTCTCTAGAAGGACAAGAGCAACAGATACATGGGACCACCATTGTGACAATGTTGTGACTTTAAGATGTGTGTTTTGTCCTGGTTTCTTTTAGACTGAGATTGGGGGATAGGCGTCAAGCAGTCTATGTGAAGATAAACAACTTGTGAAGTCTTGGGTGCTTTTTTTTTAAATTGTGGAACAATAGAAGCAGCCTGAAAGGGTGTGGTCAAGCTCCACCCACAGAACCAGGGATTTTAGGTTTAGCTTTCAGCAGTTGTTACTGGGGTCTCAACAGGGTTGGAAGACAGTGAATTTCTCCCGGCTGCTACACTCTTTCTCTCTCAGAATTGTCTTTTGATGTTTTTTGCTCCTGGATTGGAGAACTGCATGTGAGACAATCTGTTTTCTGAATTTGCCTTTTGCCAAGGGTGTGTTTATGGGATGCTACTATATTGGAACAGTTAATTAGTAATAGTTACTGTCTCTATTGTTTTGTTAAATTTTCTAATAGCACTTAATTATTCCAAATTCTTCTTTCTGTTGTTGTATTTTAACTATAGTGTTTGAATAAATTGTGTTTTGCTTAACATCGAGTAGTTTTTCATTCGAGTTGCATCTGGAACACAGGACCTTACATTTACCTTTAAAATAGAATAAAGTTAGGGTCTAGAATATCTCCCAAATATTTTGAGGGGGTCTGCTCTCGTCCATACCACCATTACCTGAAAGTTCCCCTCTAAGCCTCATCATCCTGACTCAAGTAAATCACCATTCTTTCACTGTTGCTGTGTCAAAGTCAAGCAACTCCCTCTCTGATGGAATTGTAGGTCTACCTACAGCAAATGGACTGCAGCAGTTCAAGAAGGCAGAGCACCACCACCTTCTCAAGGGCACCCAGGGGTTGGTAATAACTGCTGGCCATCCAGCAACACCCACGTCCCACAAGTGAATTAAAAAAAACTTAGATTAGACCAAAATAAACATGAGAAGCAACTTAACCTGGTACAAATTCTGTCAAATATTCAAACCACTGGCGTATAGTGGAATCTCCAAAAATGTAGACATTTTTCCCATGGAGACAGTTTATAATAGTTTCAGGAGTGTTGAAACGCCGAACGTTACAGCTTGTTGACATCCACTGGTTCTGATAATAAAACCCAGATGGTGAAAGCAGAGGCTTCCTAGGGACACATTCTCCAAGGTGTGCATCTGAAAGAGAAACAAAAATCATTGAAATACACAGAAATCAATGCCCTTCTGTGTCGATGTTCGTCATTCAAATGGTTAATGACGGTTTCCAGAAAAGCGAGACTTCCAAACAATGTCTTTCTATGTGAGAGATAGTAGGAACTGCAGATGCTGGAAAATCCGAGATAACAAGATGTAGAGCTGGATGAACACAGCAGGCCAAGCAGCA